GGAAACATTTAAAAACAAATAATTATGAGTAATATAAACTGTGTTTATATGGCAGTAATATTAACTTTTTTTTATTTCTCTAAACCTTTGTAAAATATTCCATACAACCACCAGCATAACTACATGACACGGCCTTTATTGTCAATTAATATCCTAACATTACAGCAAACATATTTTATTCTATTTTTTAACACATAAGTTATACAATATTGACTACATCTAAACTCATGTAAGAAACATTTTCGATGTAAAAATTAAACATTTAGGCCTAAACATTAAAGTAATTCAAGTGTAATAACCGGTCTGTTATCCAGTATTCACCGGTCAGCGCTGGTTCCCATGCCGGAGATGGACTCGCCTCTGCGGGGAAACTTCTAAATTTAGACCGCCGTCCTGCGTCACTCACAGCCGAAAAATGCTGCGACGCGACTGACTCCATAACCTGCCAATAAACAACCAGTGCACAGTTCTGAGGACATTTTATCATCCAAATTAGTTATATCCATTATCTTTAAGAATATAGTCGTGTGTTTTTTTTATGCAAGGCCTTACAATCACGCGAAAAGGCAGGCGCAAGTCGACACTCGTTTAAGGTGAGTAACATTGCGTCTCTGTATGTTCTTTTTTCATTAAATAAAATTATTTAAAGCATATTAATGATTATACAGATAAAATAAAACAAACAAACCTTAATTTCAGTTGGAAATGCTCCAATTCTGCGCCGATGAGAAGAGAAGAGGAGAAGAGATCTGTTCTTTTCTGGACTGGGAGAGTTCAAACAGCGCGCAACCGCAAGTTCAAACAGCGCTCACTCAAGTTCAACCGTTGAGTTGTCGTCACGTCAGAGGGTGGGGAGGGGTGCGTTGTTGTAATCATAGACAGTAAAATACATTTTAATTGAGTAAACTTAATTAATTTCTTATGCGTGTTAAATAATAATATTAATTTTTATTTTAGAAATATTTGTGGTTCTTGAGACAGATCAGTTTAATCCAGTCTCAAATATTGTGATGGAAATTTCACAAATATTAGCTAAGTGTATTTTAAATTAATAATTGGTTAGTCAAAAACTAAATTAGCCTATTTTAGTGAAAAACTTAAATATAACTGTAAATTTCAGACAAAATTAATTGTTGGAGTTTTAGTCATTTATTTCGGTATGTTCGACTCAAACTATTGAGTAAATTATATTCAGTTTAGTTAATAAAGACTTCAACACTTCAACATTTAGGAAAGTTTTTTGTTTGTAGGTTGTACCATAGTAGTACTGTGATAAAGTTTAGAGAAATTGTCACAAATGAAAATGAAATCGATGCAGGATATAAAATGAAAACTATTGATATGTGAAATATGGAACTGCATCTTGTAGAACACATTCTAATAAAAATAATTTTGTAATTAAAATGTGCGCTTGCGTGTGTGTAGTTTAAATGTTGTGTTTTTAATCTAAGACAGATTATACAGTATGTAACCATGACTGATACAGGCATAGGCCCCTCGACTCAGTGCAGTAAATAAATCAATCAGTAGGCTGTACTTCCCTCATGCTGGTTCTTATCTTGTCCTCTGTTTATACACGTCCATGCTGGAAATTCATATTAAATTTGCATTTTTTTGTTTTTACTTCATGAAAATCTATATTGCTTTAGTTGTTTGTAGGACACATATTACATAATATGATTAAAAATACATTAATATTATGCAATTTATATATGTGGTTTTTGCATATGTCCCTTACAATATTCTGTTGGAACATATACAAATCACAGGAGTTTTTAGCAAACCTTTTCCATATGGGAAGGTTTTAAAGTATATTATTGTTAAACAAAGCGAGTTTGCAGCAAAAGGCATGAACAGAACGAAATGTTATTATTTATGAGTACCGTTAAACTATTAATAAATGAGACTGAAAATTTAATTGATAAGACAATTGAATGCAATAGAGTCAAAACCACGATTTTAATATGCATAAGTTAAATAGGAATACATACAAATTTGTATGTTGGTAAAGTTGTTTATACGTAAATAAATTACGTTTTTTGTTTGTTTGTTTTTTTTTGCTGTCATGTCATTGTGAGTTGTTGTGAGTTGGGCATGTTGGCCTGCAGTTTTCAATGAAGCAGATTTGTCTCAATTCAAGTTAAGTCTGTTTCTTGAAACAAGACGATTCATCTTTTACAAATAACACAGCAGCTTAAAAAACTGTCAAAATGTCAAAAAAGCTTGTTTCATCTGAGATATGACTCAAAACAAGATATTTTTAAGACAGTTTCACTTAACAAGATATTCAAGATGCACTGTCTAAAAACAAGCTCCTGTATCTTACTTAAATCTTGGTCTTTAGGTAATTTTGTCTTATATTAAGTGAGCTGAGATATTTTGACTAGAAATTAGAAAAATATACTTGGCAAGATTTTGAGTTTTTGCAGTGCGCTCTTCTGTCCTCTCCCAGTAATTTTTTTTCTGCTTTACTGAGACGTTCACAGTGGAATCTGACAGAGATTGCGTTGTAAGGACTCTTTCCTTTGAAAGGGGGGATGCTTTAATGTCTGAGATGATTTTCTGCTTTCTTCCGGTTCAATTATTTATTACTTAGCAACATAAAAGAAAACATGCCAGATTGTTTAGTGCAATGTTACGGCAAGAAAGAAACAGAAAAGGGGGGAACAATGATTTGGCTTACAGTGATATGACTAAGTAGATAAGTAGGACATGTTCCTGGATCTACATCCTGGTTGGTGTAGGGTTTAAGATTTGGTTTAGGGGTAATGATTAGGGTTGGAAAGTTTTTGGAACATAAAAAGAAAGAATGTTGTTCTAGGACCAAAAGATGTCATCAGCACTTGTTTCTGTCTCTCTACAGATTTTGGGAATTTCCTGTACGTCGAGGTGAGTCCTAAGTCAGAACCGCAGCGCGCACGGTTAATGAGTCCATCGGTGGGACCCGAGCGCCGCCCTGTCTGTCTGCTCTTCTACTATCAGCTTCAGGGTGAAGGTCAGGACAGTCTGCGTGTGTTGCTCCGGGACGATGACCAGGAGGAGACGCTGCTCTGGGCACTGAAAGGAGACCAGGGGCCCATGTGGAGGGAAGGCCGCACCATCCTGCCTCAGTCCCCCAAAGAATATCAGGTGCACATACTCATCCAATAGAAATCCGAGAGTAACGAAGGAACACCAGTAATGGTGTCAATCGAAATGAAGCTAATCAAAACATACAGTCTTTAATTCTCTTTCTTTTCTGTTTAATTTGCAAGGTTGTCATCGAGGGCTTCTTTGAGCGAGGCAGTCGAGGGCACATCTGGGTTGACAACATTCATATGAGCTCCAGCATCGAGCTTGAGCAGTGTACACGTAAGTATCAACACCTGGGTCTTTCTTTGTCTTGCTTTATTTCTGTCTTTCAACCATCACCCACCAAATTTGTCACCAGGGACCTAAATGAACACATGCAAAGCACCAGATGCAAGTAATATATGCCTTGACGAGTAAACAAAGGGGACCTTTCTTTAAATTATGTCTGAAATACATTAAAAAAAATGTCCATTTATCATAGGGATTTGCATTTATTTTTTATATTGATATATTTTTAAATACTTATTTTTTTATTTTATATTTAAACTGCAAAATTGTTTCTGGGCTGGTTGGAAATATTTATGATTTGGCTGATTTGACAAAACTTCATTTTGGACCCTGCCTGTCACCAAATGGTCCATTCTTACCTCATACCTGTGGCTTTTCCTTTACTCTTCCCATCCAAGCCCAAGAAAAAATGAATCGAATAGAAAGTGTTTTTCAAGTGCTAGGCTCACACAAAAAGCTGAAAACTAGGCCACACTCGCCCTGTGGGCTCTGATCTCAATCTATGTTTCATTAGTCTCTTTTCCTTCTCCTCTCTTATTTGTAAACAGAGCTTTTCCAGAGCCATGCCAGGGAATAACCAGTCAGGCCTGCTCTCTACGGTGTAGCTTTTCACAAGCACAGAACAGACATTAATGTTGAACAAAGCACTTCGCTACACGGCCAGTCAATCACAATGCTGTGAAGGTTATTTACTGAGCAAAAACGTCTCGGTTACGTATGTAACCCTCGTTCCCTGAGTAAGGGAACGGAGACGTTACGTCAGAAGTGACGGAGATTGGGGGTTTCGCATAGAAAGCCAATCCTCTTCGAGTATTAAAACACGAGCCAATGGCATGCAATGCCTTGGGGCTGCGGAAATTTGCATAGCGTACTCCGCCCTACTCCGTGAGTATAAAAGGAGGAAGTGAACGCAACCGCAGTATGTCTTCGCTGAGGAGCCAAGACTGAACTCGGCCTCTACCCAGCGATACAGCAGAAGTGGCAGGGAGACGTAACGTCTCCGTTCCCTTACTCAGGGAACGAGGGTTACATACGTAACCGAGACGTTCCCTATCGTAGTCACTTCGAGTTACGTCAGAAGTGACGGAGATTGGGGGTCTGTGCCATCACGCCATCTTCAAGCTGTCTTCCAGTGCCCTGCGAAAGACTGAACCCCGAGCCTTACCTCTTTTTTTTTTTTTTTTTTTTTTTTGGGATCCGACTTTGACACAGGATTACCAAGGTACACTGGGAAACATATCCCGAAGGGGACATGCTACCAGCTGCCTACCGAAGGGAGGACTTAAGAATACACATATGGCCACATAGGGACACATATGGAACACTGGAGTACCAACCGCAGGTGGCTACTGATTTAAACTCCAGGGGTGGCAGATGGCTTGCCAAGGGAAGACACATGCTCAGAGAGGCTTACAGTGGATAATACACATGAGACGGTTACCATGGGGAACCGTGCGCATGGAGGCACCTAGCTAGCATCCAGAGCCACGCAGTGGTGCCCGCATCGTCGGTGCTGGAGGACTCAAGACTTCAAAGGAAGAACTGAGGAATATCGCACTTATCCAGTCCGGGGAGTGGAGTGGCGAGCAAGCGAAGACACCTGAGCGGATCCAGAACTGGCCGAAACGAGTACGTGAGAGGATACCGGCTCAATTCGCAGATTATAGAATCTGGCGAAGGTGTTGGGTGTCGCCCAGCCTGCAGCTCTGCAGATGTCTGTTAGCGAGGCGCCGTGCGCTAAGCCCAAGAGGAGGCTACACTCCGAGTGGAATGGGCCGTCACACCAAGGGGGCACGGAAGGCCTTGCTGCTGGTAAGACAAAGCAATGGCATCCACTATCCAGTGGGACAGCCGTTGCTTTGAGAGAGCCCTTCCCTTCTGGCTCCCTCCATGACAGACAAAGAGCTGGTCTGAGGTCCTGAAACACTGCGTTCTGTCGACATAGGTGCGGAGAGCACGTACCGGACAGAGCAGTGCCAAGGCTGGGTCTGCCTCCTCCGGGGGCAGCGCTTGCAGGTTCACCACCTGGTCCCGGAAGGGAGTGGTGGGAACCTTGGGCACATATCCAGGCCGGGGTCTCAGGATCACGTGAGAGTAAGCCGGCCCGAACTCCAGGCACGCTTCGTCAACGGAGAATGCGTGCAGGTCCCCCACCCTCTTGATGGAGGCCAATGCAACCAGGAGTGCTGTCTTCATGGACAGAAACTTTAACTCTACTGATTGCAAAGGCTCAAAGGGATGCCTCTGCAGAGCACTTAAAACTACCGAGAGGTCCCAAGAGGGTACGAGGGGAGGACGAGGCGGATGCAGCCTCCTCGCTCCCCTCAGGAACCTGATGACCAGGTCGTGCTTCCCTAAGGACTTACCTTCCACTGCTTCATGAGAAGCGGCAATGGCCGCGACGTAAACCTTAAGGGTGGAGGGCGACAGCCTGCGCTCCAACCCTCTTGCAGGAAGGAAAGCACGATACTGATCGAACATCTCCGGGGTCTTCTCCGCGAGAAGAGCACCAATTGACGAAGAGGTTCCACTTCAACGCATAAAGGTGTCTCGTGGACAACGCTCTTGCGGAAGTGATGGTTGCCGCCACCGCAGGTGGCAGCGAACTCAAACCTGCCTCGTCCCGTCCAGGAGCCACACGTGCAGCCTCCAGAGATCGGGACGAGGGTGCCACAGAGTGCCCCGTCTCTGAGAGAGTAGGTCTTGTCTCAGAGGAATAGGCCAAGGAGGTGCTGCCGCGAGGAGCATGAGATCGGAGAACCACGTCTTGGTGGGCCAGTAGGGGCTACCAGCAAGACCTGCTCCTCGTCCTCCTTGATCTTGCACAACACCCGTGCAAGGAGGCTCACTGGGGGAAACGCATACTTGCGTGGGCCCCGTGGCCAGCTGTGCGCCAGCGCATCCGAACCGAGAGTGCCCCAGGTCAGAGAATAAAACTGGGCGCAGTGGGCTGAGTCCCGGGAGGCGAACAGATCTATCTGTGCCTCCCCGAACTCTTTCCAGATCAGCTGGACCGACTGGGGATGGAGTCGCCACTCGCCGGAGATAGGGCGGACCCGAGACAGCTCGTCGGCTGCCCAGTTCCGGTCTCCAGGAATGTGAACTGCACGAAGGGACCTCAGGTGCTTCTGACTCCATATCAAGAGGTGGCGGGCGAGCTGCGACAACCGGCGCGAGCGTAGACCCCCCTGGTGGTTGATGTACGCTACAGCCGTAGTGTTGTCTGAGCGGACAAGCACATGCTGGCCCTTGAGCAACGCTCTGAAGCGGTGCAGGGCGAGCCGTACTGCCAGCAGCTCGAGGCAATTGATGTGCATGAGGCGCTGGGCCCCCGTCCAGGAGCCGGCGGCTGCATGCCCATTGCACATGGCACCCCAACCCGTGGTAGATGCATCCGTGGAGACGATGAGATGCCTGGAAACTCGCTGAATAGGGACGCCCGTCCGTAAAAAGCTGAGGTTCGACCACGGGAAGAAGGTTCGCCGGCATGTCGGAGTCACTGGGACTCGGAGCGAGCCGCGATGCCATGCCCACCTCGGGACTCGATCGCGAAGCCACAGCTGAAGCGGTCTCATATGAAGCAAACCGAGCGGCGTTGCCGCGGCCGCGGATGCCATATGCCCCAGGAGCCTCTGAAAAAGTTTCAGTGGAACCGCACTCTTGCCCTCGAACTGACGAAGACAAGTCAGCAGTGAGTGCGCGCGCTCGATCGTGAGCTGCGCGGACATGGCGACCGAGTCTAACTCCACGCCGAGAAAAGAGATCCTCTGCACGGGGCAAAGTTTGCTCTTTTCTCGGTTGACCCGAAGGCCCAGACGGGCTAGGTGCCGGAGCACCAAGTCTCTGTGTTCGCAAAGCTGAGCTCGAGAGTGTGCTAGTATCAGCCAGTCGTCGAGATAATTCAGGATGCGAACCCCGTGTTCGCGAAGGGAACAAGGGCTGCCTCGACGATCTTCGTGAAGACGCGAGGGGACAGAGCTAACCCGAATGGGAGAACGGCGTACTGAAATGCCTGGCCCTCGAAGGCAAACCGAAGAAACGGTCTGTGTCGAGGTAAGATGGACACATGGAAGTACGCGTCCTTCAGGTCGATCGCTGCAAACCAATCCTGATACCGAACACATTCGAAAATGCGTTTGGCCGTGAGCATTTTGAACGGTAGTCGATGGAGAGAACGGTTCAAAACGCGCAGGTCCAGGATCGGTCGTAACCCACCGGTCTTCTTGGGGACAATGAAGTAGGGGCTGTAAAACCCGGACTCCACCTCGGCTGGAGGGACCGTCTCGATTGCACCCTTCGCCAGCAGGGTCGCAATCTCCGCTCTCAGGACTGGGGCATTGCCACCGACTATCGTGGAGCGAACTCCCCTGAACGGGAGGAGACCGTGCGAACTGAATCGCGTAGCCGAATCTGATCGTTCTGATGACCCAGCGGGATACCCCGGAAGCGCTAGCCAGGCTTCCAGGAAGTGAGCCAACGGGGTCATGTGAACCACAGACGTCCCCCCGGAGGGGCAGCGTGGCGGGTCGACTGGCACGCGTGCAGGGGTTACCCCGCTCGGATGCGTCGAAGCCCGCTCCCCGACAGAAGGGACCAGGGAAAGCGGAGCGTTCCACGGGGGTCCGTTCTGCCGGGGGTCTGGCGAGAGAGGGGGAAGGGATTGGTGTAGCCCGGGGACGACGCACGCACCCTTCCGCGCCCTCCGAGACAGAGAGGAGTGAGTGGGCCGACACCCTGGGGCATCGGGGGCACTCACTCCAGTCTGTGAGCTCAGTGAGGATGTCAAGTCTTTCTTTAACCAGTTCAGGGTGCTGCCCACCCGTGGGTGAGCAGCGGGGAGCTGAGAACAAAAGATTCTCCCCCGGCCCTCCACCGGGGGAAGGAGGGGGCCTGCTACCGCCTCCTGTGAAAGACTCGAGATTGTCACTGAGCGGCCCGTGTCAGGATCTTCGCTTGGCCTGGCGTTTAGCGGGGCGAGCGGCCTGAGGGGG